AACTCGAGAATTTCTGAAAATTACGGATTTCACTTATAGTCGAGCAGTGAAACCGTTCTTACTATTATTACTGATTTGGGGCGTTACATTCTCTAAAACTTTTACTTTTACACCCACTTCTCTGCCTTTACTACCACGAATCACCACAACAACAACTCCCATTCAAGAAGCGGTGGTACCTATGAACATCCCTCACTATGATCTCTCTACCTGCCACCACACACATGTACTTGAAAGCCTCATGACAATCCCCACAAATCCTCAAATTCTTCGTGATCCTCAGCGGCTTTCCTGGCGGCGTAATCCCACTCAACAGCCCAAAGGCCGCCGCCAATTTCTCGCTATGGCTCCAAAGAATCTCCCTCTTCTCTCTCTCCTCCAGCTCACGCGGTGCTCCCTCCCATTTAGGCACATATCCCAATTTCTCAATCCCCACCATCAACTCCTTCAGCTTGGCAAAAATGTCGTCTTTTCTAAAATGCCGCACGTCCCCGGAAATAAACACGTGACATCTCCCACGCACTTCGACCCAACTCCTTCCGACCTCTTTCCGAACCCCTTTCTCTCTCATCATACGCCACACTTCTTTAACCCCATCAAATTTCCCGTCACGTGCAAGCACGTTTGCTAGGATAACATAAGCCGAGTCATCGTTTGGGTCAATCTCCAACAGTTTCCCTGCCATTCTCCAGCCAATTTCATGATTTCCTTTGTTAGTTGCACAGCTCGACAGCAAAACCCGCCACATGGCAGCATCGGGCTCGTGAGGCATAGTCATAGCCACTCTCTCCGCCTCTTCCAATCTCCCTGCTCTCCCCAGTGCACCCACAAGACATGTGTAGTGCTCGATTTTCGCCTCTATTCCGTACTCTACCTTCATCTTATTCAACCACGTTTCAGTTTCCCTTACCAAGCCCGCATTGTAGAAAGCCGTCAAGACTGCCAGGAAAGTGTACTCGTCGGGCTCGAGCCCGAGGTCCTCCATCGACCGAAAAAGCCCGACAACTTTTTCATGGCTCCCGAGCAGCGCGTGGCCTGCGATTAATGCATTCCAGCCTGCAGCATTCAGATTCAGGACAAGCCCGTCGAAGACCTGGCCCGCATAATCAATAACCCCGCATTTTCCGTACATGTCAATCAGCGCAGTCCCCACGTAGACATCTGAGTCCAGCCCGATTACAACTGCGTGGCCATGAATGGCCATGCACTGGTCGAGCAAGGTTGCCTTGGAAGCAGCAGATAAAGCGCCGGATACACTGTGAAAGGTGGAGGGCACATCCCGCCTTCTCATCTCAGAAAAAAGCCGGAGGGCGTCAATGGGCCTTGAATTCTTGGCTAGCCCATTAATTAAGGCCGAGAAGCAAACCCTGTCTGTTTCGGACATTTCATCGAACACCTTGTTCGCGGAGTCAGGGTCGCGGGCTTTACAGTAGAAGGAAACGAGGGCCGAGCCCACGTAGGGGTCCTGGTGCAGGGCGAGCTTGTGGGAGAGGGAATGAAGCTGCTGGCCGAGGGAGCTGCCGGGCGAGGAGGCGCAGGTCTTGAGTAGGGTCGCGAGGGTGCGGGCGTTGGGGAGGGTGCGGCGGGGGTGGCGGAGCATGGAGAGGAAGAGGGCGAAGGCGACTGGGGGCGAGGTGGAGAAGGCGGAGATGACGGCGGTCCAGGTGACGGTGTTGGGGCAAGGGATGGAGCGGAAGAGGCGGAGAGCTGAGGAGTTGAGGTCGTGGGCGGAGTAGAGGGTGATGAGGTTGTTGAAGAAGGCTCGGGTCTGGGGAGTGGGCAGCACGCCTCTCGTAACGGCCTGCGCGTGGATGCAGCGAGGGTCTGTGTGTGGCGCCATTGTTACTGCGGGATGAATGGGAATAGGCACAGATACATATCATATATATATATAATTACTGGCTCAAAACATTTAATAAAACCTATTTGATTTTACTTATGTGGCAATTTAATAATTTTCCCTTCAAAAATCGTTATATTTTGATGTATTTAATCTTTCATTTAATCATTAAATAATTAATACTCATCACTTCAAAATTATAAAAATTATTTTAAATTTTTTATTAATGACAGTTGACCATATAATGTGTTGAACGTATAATGTGATTAGATGTTATTATTATTGTTACATTTATTTTTTTTTAAAATAAAAAATATATTTGAAATTCCTAAATAAATGATAAATAATTCACAAATAAAAGACGTACCAAACTATACATTACATCCAATCAAATAAACGCAATATAAAAAAAATATTCCAACTCTTTTAATTGTAAATTTGGTCTGCAAAAAAGTGAAAGAAAAATAATTAATCACTATATGCATACAGACTCACAATAATTTATTTATATCTGTACAAATGCATAGGTCAAATACTAGTATCATTCACTTGACGTCTTCTATTTTGTCGTAAGGGAGACATGTTCACGTGACCAAGGGTCGAACCGGCCTGTTGACCCGGAGCGGAACAATTGGTTTTTTCACCGAACCCTTAACCCTTTAAGGGCCGGTTCAGAGTCGTGTTTTTCTCCTTTTTGGACCGCGGGGCCAGATCGGTTTCAGGTCGGTCCCGGGTCGAAAGACAGGTCGTAGTTATTTTTTTTTTTTAAAAAAAACCTTGAACTGTCGGGTCGAGCCGGTTCAAATAGCTGATCTGGTTTCGGGCCACATTTGAGGCCCGCCGACTCGGCGGGCCGGGCCAGGTCATGAATCGACCCGACCTTTGAACACGTATAGTGGGAATTGTAAATATTCTAAGGGTAGCCCTGATTTTATAGTCATTGGATGATTTATAAAATTATAAATAAATCAAAGGAACCCAATGACAATTCATATATATATAAGGTCGCGCTCACATGAGAATGGTACTTAGTGAAAGAAACGATAATAAATCGTAGTCATTAGATCGAATGATCTAATGACTAATAAAAAAGTCAAATTTATACCTTCATTAAGGGTGTTATGGTAATTTTACACACCACACACATAGATGGACCCCACCTTGCATTAAATATCCGACTAATTAATTGACAACTACCAAATTGTCACACCAATCCACCCAACGAACCAAGTCGGCCGCCCGACCTCCACCGGCTCCGCCTCGCATCCCCGTCTGACCTCCACTATGATTTTGCCCACATTGCCGCCGACTGCACTGCCTCTGAAAGATTCCGTCGACCACGGACTGTGCTCCGATTTCGATGGAAAGGAATTGAATCCATAGTCAAAACACACCGCCACCGCCCGTTTCCGCCGCCACCGCCCCCCGCCACCGCCGGCACACACACACACACAGTCGCTGCCCGATTTCAAGGAACGAGACTGAATTTAATTTGGATTGTGTGTCTGTTGTTCGAGAATTTGACAATTTGAAATGTTCCAATTGCAAATTTAAGAGTTTTATCAAATTTCAATTTAGTCCTTGGGTATAATTTAATAAATTTAAGAGTTTTATCGCCACACACACGGTTTCTTTTATAGTTGCCCATGGTTCGTGTGCATTATATTTGCTAAGGAGTGTATTTTTTTTTTCCTTTTTTTTTTAAGGTGTGATTGTTGGATAGTGTAAAAAGAATAGCAAGAAGAAAAAATTGATTTGTTTGTTCCCAACTAAATTATGTAGGTTGATTTTATTTAAAGTTGTAAACAAACAACTCGATTATAAAACATGTAGTAATGTGCAATGGTATTAAACAAAATGCATATTAGTGATTGTCATACTACACGATAGTGTTAGACCACATGCACTTTTAAAGGAACATCTTGATATTTGAATAAATTTATGAACAAATTGAACCGACTAATGAACAACTCTATATAATTTTATAAATTATAATGGGCGTTTTAATAATTACAAATATTATTAATAATTACAAATATTATTAATAATTACAAATATTTTTAATAATTACAGTAGTTCGACTTATACACTATCACGTTGCACTTTATAAAATAGCACATTGCACTTTACAAAACAATACGTTGCACTTTATAGTTCGACTTATACGTGATTATCACGTTGCACTTTATAAAGCAACATATTGCACTTTATAAAATAATACGTTGCATTTTATCATGATTACCAGATTGCACATTAGAGATCGAAACCGACCAAACTCAATTTTATTGAACAAAAAAATAATATAAAAAATAATAAATAAAATTATTTACATATTAAATATAATTTTAATATGAACAACAAATTATTTCAATTAAATCCAATTGACAATGTTCATTTTTTCAACTTGATTTAGGATAAAAGTTCGGTTGGTTGAATTTGCACAGCACAATACAGACCGACACCCTGCACCGTAGTGTTGAACAAATTGCACTTTAATAAATGTTACATTGCGCGGTATATTTCATTCATAAAAATACTAAATTTTGAATAAAAATAATATAAAATATCAAATAAAAGTATATTAAACACTAATCATACTTTTTATAATAAATTATATAATTTATGTCATTTATTTTGGTTATTTTTGTTAACCGACAAATTAAATCGATTATGTCGAGTTTTTTAGTTCAAACTTATACATTTCATTTTGATTATTTATTTTTTACTGTTAAAAGCATATCTATACATAATTTTGTACAATTCACTATAGTAAAAAATGGCATATTTATTAAATTTTTTAATAATTTCGTATTCATATGACATTATTTTTTAAGGTGCACACCTACACACAATAATATGCAATTAAGGTGTCATTATTGGCATAAATTAATAGTTATTTAACCATAAAATATCATACATAAAGAAAATATACATATATTAAAAGTGTAGGAATTGCAAAATAGTCCCCTACACATATTGAATCTACAAAATCAGACCCAGCCCCCTCCCAAAACAAAAGACGCCGCCACTCAACTTTAGCCACCACCGCCGTCGCCGCCGTCTTCGTCACCAAACGCCGCCACCTCCGCCGTCCTCATCAACAAACGTCGTCGCCTCCACTGTAATCATCACCAAAAGCCGCCACAACTGGCGCTGATACGGTCTGGGAGATGCGGTGGCAGGGCTGGAGAGCCGCGGCGGCCGAGCTGGATACGTGCGACGTTTGGTTGAAGAGTCGCACTGCCGGTCTGGTGATGCGTGGTGGTCAGAATGTGTAGGTGGGACGACCGGCGAACGGGATCTGTCGGCCCGTTGGTGACGAAAGTGGAGGACGGTGGAGACGGAATCGGCGAAAACAGGCTTGGTGAGGTTGTGTCGACGGGCGGTGGTTGGCAGCGGCGGACGGTATTCGACGGCGGCAAGCGATGGGCAGCTGGTTTCCGTCAGAAACTTCTTGGTCTCAACTCCGGTGATGGGATGCGGAGACGCGGCGGCGGGCTGCATAATCACTGTGGCGGGCTCCGCTGCTGAGAAGATGACGGTGCGGGATGCACAATTTAGACATTTTCTGAGTGCGTGTGTGTGTGTGTGTGTGTATACATGTGAGTGTGTGTAGTGCGTGTGTGAGTTTCAGATTTCAGATCGGGAGAGGACAGAGAAATTGAGGGAAAGAGAAAAGACGGTGAGAAGGGGGAGAGAGAGAGAGAGGAGAGAGAAAAGGTGGGGTGAAGTGATTTGGTGAGTGGGTCCCACTTGTCACTTGATATATGTGTATTGACTAAATCAACCTTAATTATTGGTCAAATACACATGTTTGACCACAATATGATCAAATAATTACTAGATTGCATTAATGATTGACCATAGTTTGACTTCATCTAACCATTGATATGCTTGATCCCATGGTCCATATTTATTCTCATTTCTTTCACTATCCATCATTCTCATATGATCCTTTATATATATATATATATATGGAATGGTTCAGATGCGGCCGCTTTTTAAAAGTGAGGACGTGGGACCTGATCTCGTCCGTTCACTCCTCACCTAATCTAACGTTCAAAATTAATTTATTACATTAATTAATATTTCGTGGGCGGTTTCTTCGTCTTTCAGAATTCACTCTTTTACTTTTCATCTCCCGCTTCCATTACGCACTTGCTCCTTGTTTCTGTTCCATTCTCTTCCATTTTGATTTCGATTTTGCTTTTCGTCTCAAGTTTTGTTTTTGTTTTATCGTTCGCAGTCTATTCTCGCAGATTCTCGTCTTAATCGGTGAGTATTTTTGCTTTTGTTTTTGTTTGTAATCACTTTTTCGATTTTAGGTTTTTCTTTCTTTCATTTAATAGATTAAAGTAACATGTTTTGGTTATTTTTTATGATCTGTGTTAGTTTTTTTTAAGTAAGTCTATGTATAAAGTATATATCATCCGTATTTTTAGGGTTCTATTGGTTGTGTGTCTGAGTTGCAAGGTTATTGATGTTTAGTTGCAAGGTTAGTTGTCTATTGTTGCTAGGTTAGTTATCTGTTGTTGCTATGATATTTTTCGATGCTGCTAGGTTAGTTTTCTGATACTGTTAGGTTAGTTGTATGATGCTGCTAGGTTAGTTGTCTGTTGTTGCTAGGTTAGTTGTCTTTTGCTGCTAGGTTATTTCTTTCTTGTTGCTAGGTTAATTTTTTGCTGTTGCTAGGTTATTTTTCTGATGCTACTAGGTTAGTTTGTCTTAAGTTGCTAGATTATTTCTTTCTTGTTGTAGGTTTTTTTTTTTAAACAAACAACGCCCCAAGAGGACGGGGGATTGGGATGGATCCTCAACCTGTGCATAGATCAAGGCCCGAAAAAATTGGGGCCCAAAATATCAACATACTACAGTCTACAAAGTCTCAGAGGCAAAACAAAACAAAATAAAAAACCAAACAGAAAAAGAAAATACAGAGTCTGTCATCGGGCTAACAGGTGCCCGGAAGCAAAAGTCTAATCTAATGAAAGCAATAAGCC